AATTATATATATATATAACAAATCATCATGATACACACTTTATATGTACTGCAATTTTATTCGTCAATTATACCTCAGTAAAGCTGGGGGTGGGGGATAACAATAAATTTGTGGAGAAGTAGGAAGACAAATGAAAGGGCTTTAGGCTTTGGGGTGACAAAGTGTGGGAAGGTAAATGTATGGAGGAGGCGAATCCAAGGTTCGGGCTCAGTCAGTAAGGTCCGTTGTGTCGATTCCTCTGGTGTCAGCTCTAGGATAATGAACGCCTAGAGTTGTCTCCAGTAGTTAAGAATCCTCCTTCCCTTCCTGAATAGAGACAGAAATAAGAGAGCTGTTCTTGTGTGTGCTTCTTAATTGCCTTCAGCTGAAAATATTCCTCACGCCAAAATGGCATGTTAGGGATCGCATCCTCTGAACCATTCCCAGGTATGCTTTGTAGCAATCAGTGGTTCTCCGCAGTTCCTTTCCTCAAATGTTTCATTGAACTAGTCATTTCCTCTCGGATCCCATTTCGTCAAGTTTCATCACTGAGATTGGTATAAGGATGAGAGTCACATCCCCAAAGTAACGTGGCACCCATTCTGAAATCTGCCCAGCTGGCCTTTTGAGTTTTATTTGGCTACTCACTTATAGTGATGGACAAGAAAACCCAAATTTTCCTGAAGAAGAGCTTTTTATCCATTCATGCAAACACTTAAAGATTTTCCCAAGACATATTCCCAGTAATAATTTAAATAAATTCCAGAATCCAAAATTAAGGCAGGTTGAAAATCAGTATAATAATTTTAAATAATCCATACTCAGTAATTCAACTCCTAGGAATAATTCCTCAGGAAACAATGCAAAATATGAGCAAAGGTGACAAAATTATACGCTGCAACATTATGTGCAACAGTGAGCAGTTGAAAGCAAACAAAACATGTGAAAAAGAGTTGTCTAGTGGAATAATCCCAGTGCTTCCCTTCACTGGACTTGTGCAGCCACTAGAAATTCCATTTACAAAATATGTTTGTTGGCATGGAGATCTTGTTATGATAGATGTTAAATGGAGAAAGCAAGTAACAAAACTATAATAATATCTTCAATATAGAAAACCATGGACATCGCATTTATTGAGGGATTCATCTGGTTGAAAGAAACACTCAAATCAGCTTAAGCAAAAAAAAAAAGAAAGAAAGAAAAAAAAGCAAGCAAGGGCACCCCTGGACCCCGGGTGGCAAGCGGGAGCTGCCTGGATGCAGGGCCATACTCTCTCCTGCCCCCGGGACCAGTGCTCTCCAATTCTAGTTCCTTTGTTTCTTTCTCTGCCCATCAGCTTTTTCTCTGCTGCGTGGAACCCGAACATGACCTCCCAGTCGAAATACACAGCAGGAGCTGGCAAGATTCTCTATAACGCAATTCCGAATTTCTGGCATATAGAATGGAATTGGCCCAGTTTGGGTAGGCGAGTCCACCTCTCATCCACTTGGATATCACAAGGGGTCATTTTGTCCACCTGGCAGCAGGTCTTCCTCTTAGCAGGTGCATTACTGGGGCAGCATGGAGAGAAATGGCAGGTGCCTGAAAGGCAGTTCACCGTATTGTCACAGAAGAAAAGAAATACACCAAAATTTTAACAATATTTATCACCGATTACTGGATCACGGTGGTCCTTACTTTATATTCTTTTATGTTTTGAGAGTTTTCAACACTGTTAGGAATAAGTTTTAGAATCAGGAGAAAAGCGGGTTTGGTTTTGCTTTTTAATATGTAACATGTCTGGGGTCCCATCTCTAATATGTGCCCACTTGTTGGGTGTGGGAGATGAGAAGTCCAATGAGTAATGGACATTCTCTGTCCTCAGTGAATCTACCTCCTTGTGCTGGCGGCGCCTTCCTGAGTTCATCCGTATCTCGCTGAGGTCTGGTGGGATTCTAAATGGGTACCTGCACCCAGTGCCATTCAGTTATGTACCTCTGGACTCCAGTAGCAACTCCAGTCTGTACTCCGTGACTGACTTACTGATTACGTGCATTTGTTGACTCTTGAATTGTTTCAAATGACTATATCTCATCATCCCCCAAAAGGCTGATTTTTAAAATAAGAAAAACCACTCTTAATTTTTTGTTAATACCCTTTAAAGTGACTAGACTGATGCACGTTATGTACAATAACTACGAGCTTGTTAGTTAAAACTCACTCTGAACTGACTTTCCCACAGCTACTCTTTGCTGGTCTCTGTGCCTAGTATTGAAACCGTCAGTTCTTCCTGCACTTGTATGAGCTGAGTCATGATTTCTCTTGCACTGTCCACACTTCCTCCATCTGCACGTGTCAGTCAGCCAGCATGCACCGTTTTGCGATCACGTGCATGGCCATACATGTCTATTTCAGTTAAGAGTTTGGGTGGAGTGTAAAATCATATTTAAGTGTTTCTTCTATCATACACACAGAGAATGCTACCCCTAAATTTACCACATATGACCTCTAGACGAGCTTTTGTGGATTTTACTATGGTTAGGGCTAGATTCGAGTTTTAAAGACGTTCCTGTGGTTCCCTTTGAATACGACCTTTGGTTTTCATAGGAGAGGTGACACGATATAATGTGAAGCCAAAAAGACCAGGGTTTAGATTGCAGCTCAAATGATAGGACCATTAGCAAGATGTTTGACCTCTCCAAGCCTTGGTTTACTCATTTATAAAGTGAGAATAACACCTGCCTCTCAGTGTAGTTAAGATTAAGTATTTGTGCAATACCTGTCATGTGTTAGATAGTAAACATTTGCTGAACAGAAGAACTGAAAAGAAAATTAAAAAAATGAAATAAACTATCAGGAAAACACCCATATAATTGTCCTGAAGGGTGGTGACTTTGATAATAAATAAATTCAGTTAAAAAAAAAACAGGGTTTGAACTTCCAGCCAAGATGGAGGTATAGGTAGATACACTGTGCCTCCTTGCACTTCCCAAAGAAGGACAACAACAAATCTGAAAACAAAAAACAACCAGAACTGCCAGAAAATCAAACTGTATGGAAGTCCGACAACCAAGCAGCTAAAGAAACATTCATCCAGACCAGCAGGAGGGGCAGAGATGGGCAGCTGGGATGGAGAAGATGTGAGGCAAGGTAGTGTCTGGCAGACCACTGGTCCCACATTTGTGAGCAGATAAACTGGGAGGAACAACTGGGGAGTGAGACAGACAGTGTAACCCTGGGTTCCAGTGCAGGGAAATAAAGCCTCAAAACCTCTGACTGAAAAAAAATCTGTGGGGTTTGCGGCAGTGGGAGAAACTCCCAGCCTCACAGGAGAGTTCACTGGAGAGACCCACAAGGTCCTTGAATGTACACAAACCCTGGGAATCAGAACCAGAAGGATCTAATTTGCTTGTGGGTATCAGAAGAAGTGACTGAAGGCAAGCAGAAAGCTGAGCAAGCAGCACTGTTCCCTCTCGGACCCCTCCCCCACATACAACATCACAGTGCAGCCAGGTGGGTTGCCCCTCCCTCGTGAACACCTAAGGCTCCACCCCTTACTATGTAACAAGCACTCAGAGACAAAAAAAATATGGCCCAAATGAAAGAATAGATCGAAGCTCCAGAAAAAAATATAACTAAGTGATGAAGAGACAGCCAACCTATCAGACGCAGAGTTCAAAACACTGGTAATCAGAATGCTCACAGAAGTGGTTGAGTATGGTTGCAAAATAAAGGAAAAACTGAAAGCTATGAAAAGTGAAATCAAGGAAAATGTACAGGGAACCAACAGTAACAGGAAGGAAACTGGGACTCAAACCAATGGTTTGGACCAGAAGGAAGAAATAAACATTCAAACAGAACAAAATTAAGAAACAAGAATTCAAAAAAATGAGGAGAGGCTTAGGAACCTCCAGGACAACTTGAAACATTCCAACATCCAAATCATAGGGGTGCCGGAAGGAAAAGAGGACAAGCAAGAAATTAAAAACTTATTTGAAAGAGTAATGGAGAACTTCCCCAAGCTGGCAATGGAAATAGACTTCCAGGAAGTTCAGGAAGCTCAGAGAGTCCCAAAGAAGCTGGATCCAAGGAAGCACACACCAAGGCACATCATAATTACATTAGCCAAGATTAAAGATAAGAAAAGAATCTTAAAAGCAGAAAGAGAAAGGAGACAGTTACTACAAAGGAGTTCCCATAAGACTATCAGCTGATTTCTCAAAAGACAACTTACAGGCAAGAAGGGACTGGAAAGAACTATTCAAAGTCATGAAAGGCAAGGACCTACATCCAAGATGACTCTATCCAGCAAAGCTATCATTTAGAATGGAAGGGCAGATAAGTGCTTCCCAGATAAGTTAAAGGAGTTCATCACCACCAAGCCCTTAATGCATGAAATGTTAAAAAGGACTTATGTAAAAAAATAAAAAAGAAGATAAAAAATATGAACAGTTATAACAATTATAACAAACTCACAACTATCAACAACTGAACCTAAAAAAAAAAACACAAACAAGAACATATTAAGCAAACAACTAGAATAGGAACAGAACCAGGGAAATGGAGAACACATGGAGGGCTATCAGCAGGAAGGGGGAGGGGAGGATGGGGGAAAAGGTACAGGGAATAAGAAGCATAAATGGTAGGTAGAAAATAGACAGGGGGAGGTTAGGACTAGTATGGGAAATGAAGAAGCCAAAGAACTTGTATGCATGACCCATGGACATGAACTAAGGGGGGCAGGGAATGCGGATGGGATGGGGAATGCAGGGCAGAGGGGAATGAAGGATGGGAAAATGAAACAACTGTAACAGTATAATCAATAAAATATATTTAAAAGAAAAAGAAAAAGAAAAAAACAGGGTTTGCCAACTAATAAAGAAAAGATGCAGAAGTCCTTTTAGAATCAAATTACAGGAGTGAAGGTCAGCCACTCCTTGGATAAAACGTGGGCGGGGAAGGGAGGTGGGTGGAGGGGGCAGGGCTTAAGGAGGAAGTGGTGCTCCTCCCCCAAGCCTCACTAAAACCTGAGTCCTAAAGCTGGAGAGGCAGCACCAGATGAAGTCTTAGACCACACGAACTTCCCCAAGTGAGAAGCCAAGAAGACTCGGGGAAAGTTTCCTCTTAAATTTCCTGGGGAGAGATTCAGGTATAGAAATACCCTTCCTGCCACCTACGGGAAGCAGAGGAAACCACTGACAGCTTCAAGACCAGGTAACACCAGGAGGCACCAGTCTTCATTCTCAGCCTTCCCAGGAGGACACAGTTGGCTCTTCAGTCCTGGCTTTACTAATGAGGCAGTGTAATCAGGGGAGATGCTTACTGAGTTGTTTAAACGGTTCATATCATGTAAGTCTCAGAATGCAAAATGACAGCTAAGAATCTAGTTTATTGGGATTTCCAGGAAAGAGAAAGGAGGTATTTCATTTTCTCTTTCACTTCTCCTTTGCTACAGAAGACTGGGGATCGTTCAGTTAAGATTGTAAAAGTGGCTTAATCATTTTTAACACAGTGCCATTCTCTCTCATTGCATGTATGACGAGATAGGTGATGGCATGACAGCCAGTCGGTGGCCTGGAGATGCTGACTTCCTCCCTAGAGCAGGGATGGGGCTGAAGGCAGGGATCCTGGGTTGGAGCCCAGAGTCCTGAGCATCTTGTGGGAACTTGGTCACAAGGTCTAGGCCTGGCAGACTCCCTAGGGACTTCCTTGAGTACCAGGCCGAGATAACATGAGAAATCCCTCTCCCTCCCCTCTAGAAAGCTCCCTCCTCTCTGATGCCCTGGCCCTTCTCTCCTACCATCAGAGCTTGAGTCCTTTTGTTTGATAAATATGACCTATGGCTCTGCCAGTTTAGCATCTACTGTCCAAAGTTAAGGCAGTTTACCCCATGCCTCATCTCACCCTTAGGATTAAAGAGCACGTCATACTCAGACATGACACCCAGGGGAGGAGAAAGGAAGGCTGTCAAAGGCTGGAAGTTTGGAGACAGAAGGAGAGGGGCAGACAGCCTCTGAAGGGCACCGAGGGCATAGGGTGCTCCAGGGGAGGCTCAAGGCAACCAGCCCAGACTGAGTTCATCACTTGCTGTAGGAGCCCTCCTTAGAGATGAGTGTCTACGCAGGTGAGGGACACTCGGGCCTCATCTGTGTCCAGAGCAATGAAAGTCAGCTCTTTTGCTGAGCCTGTTGCCCCGGGGGCCTCCACACCCCTCACCCCTAGGGCAAGCTGATGCCAAGTGAACCCAGTATAAGTTCTATCCAGTTAAACTTGTAGCTTCACTCATCCTGGGAGCCTGCTTCCTCCATTCACACATTCAGTACCTCCCACAAGGGAGTGAAATCTAACCTCAGCAAACAAATCTAGAGCTAGAAAAATTCCCAGTGTGTCTGGCAATAGCAGGGGTTCAGGCGCATCCCATGCAGCTTTGGGCTCCTGGGCTGGACACACACTGCCCACCCAGCAGTGCCTTCTCTGCAGGTGGAGACACGAGGACTCTGGGGTGGGAAAAGAGGCCAACAAAAGAAACTTTGTAACCTTGCTCTGGGGAGTAGGTTTGTGTAGTTTGCTATGTAGATAAAGAGAGAGTATGTAAATATAGGGTGGTGAGCCATTCATTGAGTTAGAACAAGTCTCACAGGTCTTACGGGGAGCTCCCTCTTCCCTCCTGCTCTGAGCGCAGGGGGCCCCACCCAGGGCTTTGTTTCCATTAACATTGTCTTGAAACTTACCGTTTGCGTTCCCAAAACCCAGAAGTTGGGCTTTCACTTTCAACTGGAGTAGCTGAGAGCAGAAAGGATCCAACATATGATAACTTAAGTCACCGCTGCTTTAAAATAAGACTTAGCTGTTCATTTAACATAGCTCTCCCTTAACAATCTGCATTTGTTAAATGTATTCACAGTGTCTTAGCCAGTACTTTTGGGTCTCCACGCATCCTCTTTTAGCCGAGTGCTTGCTTCCCAGGGCCTGGCCACAGTGCTCACCGCGCTCCGCCCCCTCGGGAGGTGTGGCCCCGTTCTCGTGGGGGGTCGCTGCCTGAGCCCTGCTTGGTTCTCTACTTCTCACCCTTAACTTTGCTGGTTGCTCGCTCGGGCCAAGTACTTCCTTCCTCTCTAGCCTATAACACAACAAAAATTTCTTTCACAAATGGAAGGACTGTGTGGTCCTTCTTGACCTCAGCGGTTTCCCTCTTTTTCTGACCTTGCTTTTGAATCAGCATTTAGCAAACTTATTTCTTAAATAAATTGGACCCTTCGTCTCTCCAACAATGCCACACACGTGTGCAACACACACACACACAACTTTCCAGTACTCCTCACACTGTGTTAGAAAGGTATGTTTTTTTGTTTGGTTTGGTTTTTAACTTACATAGAGGTTTCTTCGAAAGCGTAGTCTTATGGCTTGAGGAGAGGGCTCACCCTGCCTTCTACGCAGTACATAGTTCCTGTAGCATCCAAATGTACTTCTTGCCGACCGTGTCCTGAGCTGCCCAATTCAAAAGGAAGCTTCAAATTAAAAACCTCATAGATCCTCTCCTGACACATTCCAGTTCTGGGCTCTTGCCTGGGCTCAGCCGCTTCCCAACCAAGTCGCTGCCCAGAATTCTGACCACACAGCTCACTTCACCCTGTCGGGCTCATTCTCTTGCTTTTCCCAGGTTGCTCAGTCTGGACCTTTGGCCCACTGTCTTTGCTCACACTTACCTGAGGTCTCAATAGTTCTGAGCAACATCTTTCATTCATAGGGTTGCCAGATTTGCATAAAAATACAAGATGCCCAGTTAGCTTTGTATTTCAAATAAACAACATATACTTATTTTAAATACAGATGGTCCCCCAATTAGTGATTGTTTACTTGTGGTTTTTCAGCTTTACCATGTTGCAAAAGTAATACACGTGATAAATTACATGAGTTAGTGAACACTTCAGTACAAAACAGGCTTTGTGTTAGATGATTTTTCCCACCTATAGCCCGATGTAAGTGTTCTTAGCATGCACAAGGCAGGCTAAGCTATGGTGTTCGGTAGGTTGGGTGTGTTAAATACACTTTTGACTAATGATAGTTTCAATGCAATGGATTTATCTGGACATAACCCCATCAGAGACCGAGGAGCAGCTGACCGAGTATGTCTCCTGCAATACTGGGGACATAGTTATACTAAAAATTATGTGTTACCTGAAATTTGACTGGATGTCCCATATTTTATCTGGCAACCTTACACACATTTGTCATTCATTTATCAAATATTTATGGGGAACTTAGCATGTGTCGGGCATTGCGCCAGGTGCTAGGAACACCAGCCAGGTCCAGTGTTTGTACCTTACAACAGACGTACTTACATACACACAGTGCACAGGGAGAAGTATGGGAAACTATAAGAAGAGTGTTGATTTGGTGTTGAACCTAATCTTTGTATGTGATTCATTAGTTTTCTTAATTGCTGCATTTAATGAGCTTGCTTTGATAAATATTAAAATTTACTTACAAAAAGGCAACCTTTCAAAATAATATCATTTTAATGAATAAGTATGCTAATTTTGGTTGAGCATTTCTCATCTACCATGCACAATGTGAAGGGCTTTATATGTACTCATCCTTTTTATCCACATCCCACCTTGATGACGGAGGACTTTTTATCCCCAGCTGACTGGTGGACAAATGGAGGCACAAAGAAATTAAGACTTGCACCCAGTTCACACAAGCAGTAAGCCGAAGCACCAGGCTTTGAACAAGGTCATCTGAGTCGAGAGACCAGCACGTTAACCACTGCTCTGTGCAAACCAGCACATGTCACTGCTTCGCAGTGTACAAGGGTTTTCACAGTTCGTCATGCCATCTCCCTACGTGGTCGGCCAGTGAGATGACGTGAGTTGCGTTTTACAAACGGAAACCAAGTCCTGGCTTTCCCGGGCCTGGCCAAGGAGCAGTTCCTCAGACAAATGGCTTTCCTGTCATCCCAGGTGTGGAAACAGGAGGCACCCAGCTGGCCTGCAGAGCGGATATTCCCTTTCCTATGGATACCAGAGTCAGAGAGAAAAGTTAGAGACTGGGCGTTGAGGACTTCGCCAGTTAGACCTTGAGCCAGCCCTGACCCTGCAGCCCCCAGGCACCCAGTCCAGTTTAACTGGACCACGTCACACCACCTCAAACCCTGTCTGCAGTCACTGCCCGTTTCTCTTTTTGTCGGTCTTGGTGTGAGAAGGCACAATAGGGAAAAAGGAGGGCTCCTATTGATTTGTTATCACACCAGCTCACGTGACCAAAGATAGTCTTAAAGCTGGACCAGTAAGGGAAGAAGAGAATATGATTAAGAACCACCTCGAGGACAGAGTCAGAGAGCCTGGGACGACAGATGTACTAGAAACAAATACTAGCTACCATTTCTGAGCCAGTTTCTGCACTGGGACGTCTCATGCATTGGCTTGTACCCTTGCCACACCCTTGTTATTTTCAACTAACCTGTAGGAAACTCAAGTTCAGAGAGGTGAAGTACCCTGCCCAGGTCACACAGCTAGTCAATGCCATGACTAGGATTTGAACTCAGGACTGTTAGTCAGAGGAGCTTAAGCTATTTTTCAGTCCATCTACTGTGAAACTTTAATTGAGTGAAAGTTGGTAGATCCAGGCTTTCTGGCACATGGAACAAAAAAGGAAAATGTAGTCCTTAACATACACCAGAAGAAAGCAAAGTAGACTATTAACAGAAAGAGTTAACAGAAAAGGAATTATTTCAGGAAAGCTCAGATTGAACAAAATCAGTTTATTGCATCTAACCGTTTCTTCATGTGAAAATGGAGATGAAACCCTTCCCTCTGTCCCTGTCATTTTTTGTCTTGCGTCCATCTTCCTAAATCATGTCTGTGATCCTGTCACTCAAAAAGGCAGGATTTTTCAGATGAAATCTTACACGGAATACCAAACATGGCAAGAAATAGGAGCAAACCCACACAAACTAAAAGGAGAGGGTGAATGAAGGAGGAGAGAAGGTGGGAGGGGCCTTGCACCCCAGACACTTCTCTCTCCGGAGCTGGCCTTCCCCGTGCCCACCTGCCCCCTCCCAAGAAGACCTTTAACCGCCCTCCACAGTCTTGGGCTCCTTTCAGCCTAACATTCAAAGCTTCCCATACCCTGGCCCCAGTGACCACTTGATTTATTGCTGCTCCACATTCCCGAACCCCAGCTAACCACGAAGGGCATGCTTACGCCAAACAGCTCTCTCACCACCCTTCAAACACTCCGCAGATTCACCCACAGCCTCTCCTCTGCCCATCCTGTTCTCAGCCCCAACACCCACCCACCCGCCTAAACCCTTTCTGTTGTTGAAGGGACCTTCACTCGCCCACTGCTTGCAGCTGTCTGTTCGTGGCCGTCTTCCCCACCCCCACCCCAGCTCCCCGCATCCCCACTCCTGTCCTAGCTCGCTCTTTGGAGTTGACTACACACATGCCTCTCTCCTCATCTCTATAAGACTGAACTTTCAAAAAGGACCCTGACTTTTCCAACTACCCTCGCCTCCCAGAACCAATAGAATAGGCATTCCATAAATGTTCACTGAGTCTCCCCTGCTTCTCCTGACCTACAAAGAGCAGGTGGCCCACAGGTAGAGGACGCGTGTGCCCTTTGTCGTTGCAGGCCCGCCATGTGCACCCCCAGCCTGTGCAACCTGGAGGAGATCCCCCTTGAGGAGGACGACACGAAGAGCATGGAATTCCAGATCCTGGAGCACTATGCCAAGCACCATGTCTTCAAGATCATGGCTGCTGTGTCCTCACCAAAGCCGCTGAGAACAAGAAGTCTGTCCCAGAAAGTACTGGGGAGTTGGTCAGCAAATGAGTCGTGGACACAGGTGTCGTGGCCTTGCAGAGGTTCCCGATCTAGCGAGAAGCCCATAAACCTTGCCAAGAAAAAGTCATCTTGGAGAACACTCTTCGAAGGGACAGAGACAGGGGCAGGTTCACAGAGCTCAACGACAGAGACCCAAGCCAAGAGTCGAAGGCGGGTGGAACTTCAGGGGTCTCATCACACTCAGCAACGGGCTAAGTCCTCTTCTAACGTGGAAGAGTGCATAGAGACCGAAGGTAGGCTTGGGGTGGGGGGTGGGGGGGTGGTTCTTTTCTCTCCCGTAACCAAATCTTTGCCTTCTTTGTGTGCATAGTAGTTCATCTCCTCCCAGCTGGTGATGTGGCCTTAGGCAGGGTGTCCATTGTGCCTCCGTTTCCCAAGTTATTAGCAGTTGATAATAATTGCCCTACTTTTCTCAAGACTGAGCAGAAAGGAAGAGGATGGCAGAGAAAGGTGATGGGACTGGTTTTCTGGCTCCACGGTCTACGAATAAGCTTACTGTCCAGATTCTTCAGCCTCTGTGCCACAGACCAGCACAAAGGAAGGCACTCTGGACAGCGGCTCGGGCTGCTGCTCTTCCTGAGGGAAGTCAGGCTGCCTCTCTGGGCCCCTGCGCTTCCATCGGTAGGTTCGGGCGTCTCATCCTCCCCACCTAGTGGGACAGGTGAAAAGATGAGGTGGCTATATACAAAAAATACTTTTCAAAGTCGAAACCACCCTAAAAAAAAACAATTGAGAAGCATTTTGACAAAATCTCACTCAGCAGGACAAAATACACTGTGTTAAATAGAATATTTTCACAAAAGACTTCATCATAGAGAGCTGCCCTTCAACTACAAACGTTGGCATAAGTTTCTTCAACAACGTCTAGTGTGGGAGGCCCAGCATTTGAAAGAAAACACCCCTCCTGCTGGGCTGATTGGCCTGCATAACTTTCCTACAATTAGTCAACAGGTGGCGGTAATGTCTCAATTTTTAAATCTGCCCTTCCTGACTTGCTTGGACAATCAGCTCACATAAGGACAGCTTTAGATCAGTGCTATCGTCAAGGAAGCTTCCATTCCCCACCAGACACAGAGTTTGAGAATGGAAGTGAGGGTCGGATTCCCCAGGCTGCCCCCACCCCCGGGGTACAGCAGGCTCCTTCCCCTGGGCGTGGGCCTGAGCTCTGGGGCAAACCACAGTCTGAAGGCATCTACATAGGCTTTTCTGCTGGGCCTGTTCTTTGGACTTTGCCAGGAGACGGAAGATTTTACAAACTAATTTACAAACTGGCTTTCTTGAGATAAGTGACATTCTGCCTTTCCAAATTACAGAAGTGTCATTTGACCTATTTTTATTTCCTAAAATTTCAAGATCTCTATATGCATACATAGATATCTCTAAAAAGTAGACATAGTTACCTCCTACGTAGGCTTAGCTATAAACATTTTTATACAGTTACCTTCTCCTCACCTTTTTCTTTCCCCCTTGCTTTCTTGTGTACAAGCTAATTGTGTGGGTCGTTTGTTGGTTTTATGTTGGGTGTCACCCAAGAGAACCTCGAGTTCCATTTCTCTTTTACCACTTACAAATCACAGCTCAGCAGCTGGCGTCACCTGGGTTCTTTTAACTGAAGGTCGCAATGTAGCCTGGGCTGCCATTGCCAGGACTCAGACACTGGGCTTAATTGAGAACTGTGAAGCGATGTCCCCAGGCCAAAGACTAGTACTGAGAGGCCTTCTGGTGTAGAAAAATGGATGTCAAAACCCATTTTAGAGACCCTCGTGAATCTTTTGTTTCTCCACAGCTGTGATTCACTACATGTGAAATGTTGCAGTTAAGATTAGTCTCAGCAACATATGTATAGTGTTGTTTTGTTTTCACAAATTCACTTTTGTTTATGTACTTTTCAATAAGTTTAAATCCCGGGGGTGGGGGGTGGGGAGGAGGTGCAGCACTGCTGAGATCCCGTGTCCGATGGCCGCGGTAGGAAGGTTGTTCGGGAATTCCGCGCGAACTGCACTGCCGGAGCACAAATCGCCTTTGCCCCATCGCCCTGGTTTTGTTCGGTTCACCACCAGGAGTCACTATGCCGCTGTTTGCTTTGTGCACATCAGCACGTCTCTGGTCTAGACAGCATCCATTGCCATCTGGAGCACAAACATCTTGGATTTTAAGAAGGGCTGTGTGCTCCCTGGGGTTCTGGAGACCCTGCTCGTAGCCTGCGGCAAAAACTGGCCTTGGACCACAGCCTCCAGACGTATTTGTCAAGGTGGAAGTCCTGTTCCCAGCAGGCCTCCGCAGGCTGCGAGGACCTAGAGATAATTTTTCTCTCCCACAACAGAAGACCCAAGTTCCTGGGTGACCCATATCACCCAGGCCTGATATGGTAGTTCCATACAGTCATTAGGGATTCTTATTCTGCCATCCCTTCACTAGTGGCTTCCGACCTCAAAGTGACCTTCCATTCCAAGGTGTCTGCTGCGAGTCCAGCCACCATGTCTCCATTCCCAGCAGAAAGAAAGAGGGAGCAAACATGACATGTGTCAAGAGGGAAGGACAAACATGACAGGTGTCTTCTTACTAAACAATTCAGCTCCCTTTTAGAAAGCGTTCTTGAAACTGCCCCCAACTTCTTCTTACATCTCATTGGCCATTCTTAACTGCAAGGGAGGCTGGGAAATGTAGTTTTTTCCCACGCATCCATAGCTGCCTCTGACATTGCAGGAGTCTGTTAGAGAAAAAGAAGAAAATGGATACCGAGTGGAAAAGAGCATTCTCAACCACGTGGAAATCTCTCACAACCTTTCTGCCCCTTCTCTTTAAAACAAATGCCTCAGGCCAAAGGCTCAATGGCCCCTTCCCAACCCTGCCCTCCTTAGCCCCACGATGACCCCCCAAAATAGGCTCCAAAGAATGGGCGGCCTCCCTGTTCTCTCCCCACCCCCTCCAACTTCCCCTTGCCTATCAGGTGGAGCCTACTCAAACAAGAACAGAAACTTTCCTTTCTCCACTGTTTAAAATTAAAGTATTCAAAATGGCAGTCTTAACTAGAGTTAGTTCATCTGGGTCAAAACGTATTTGCTTATGGTTTTTGTCCCACACATTTCATCTGCACCGCTTACTCCATGCCCCCAATTCACAGACATCTGTACACTGTACACAGGTAAGTCAGCCTGGATCCTTCTGTACCTGCCAGGGGTCTTGTGATTGCCCTGCCACATGGAGGAGGGACAGCCTTTGGGATCTTTATCTGCCTTCTTTGGGTGCAAGATGGGCACAAGGTGGCTTCTGGTGGGAGAACCACGCACTGACCATCCTAGACAGGCTGCACAAGTTTACAGAGGAAGAAGACGCAAGCTTTTCTTTCCTATGTCCTGTGGACACTGCAAAGGAAGGTTCCCATTGACTTCGGGATCCAGCCTTTTGCCATTTCTTTGCCAATGGCCATGGGTGACCAGGGTTCTAGAGGAGGCTGGTTGGGCTGCAATAAGGTGCTTGAAATGTGGAAAGTATATTTGGTTTGGTGGTTAGCATGGGAAGGGAAGCATTGACTCTCCTGTCCTTGACCTGTCCATTCCTCTGTCTCTGATTCACTCATCTGTTTTTCAACCCTGTGAATGGAGCATGAAAAATGACTTTTTAAAGGAGCCATTATGCCTTTTTTAAAAAGAAGGCATTCCAGACAGAGCACTAGTCTCTGTGCCCTTTCAGTGCATGCCCAGGAAGTGAAGGGAGAGCCCCACTGTCCTCGTGCTGTGGAGGAATCCAGGGAGAGAGGGTCAGACATCGCCTGGGCAGCTCCGTGGGATGTCCAAACCTGCTCTTCATGTGACACAGTTCCTCCTGAGACCCAGGCGTCGCCTCTCCCTATCCTGATCTAGAAAGCCCAGCGATTTCCCAGGCACACCAGCCTTCCAGCCAAAATCCCACTCTGTTACTTCAAGCCTGTGAATTAAACAATATTGTTTCTCAAACATCCCATGATGGGATTGCTTCATCTGGCATCACAGACAAAGCTGGTACAAGCTTATAAAAGTTAAGAATTTAGTAACGACTCAACAATGAATATTTTACTCCTAAACAACTCAAAAATACCACCTGCCCCCCTCCCCCGGCTTCCTCCCCCACCAGGGGCAAAGCCAACTTGTCTTTCATGGACTATGACATTCGGGAGGCCAATGTCATCAAAACCTTCAGGTCCCAAATGCTTTATTCTCTAGTTACATGTGCAAATACACGACATGCTCTTTTCCCGGATTATAAATTCTTGAAGGTCGTGGGCTGCACTGTATGTGTCCTTGCTTCCTATCAGCATTAACTAGATGTTTCCCAGTAGACCTGGGAGAGAGAGGAGGAGACAGGAGAGTTCGGTGTTTATTTGCTAATGGACTTGAGTAATGAATATGGCCAGAGAGCAGGCATATATTTATCTTTCCTCAGTGACCAACCCCCATGGGCTTGTCAAACTATTGAATGCCCTCCTATGTACATAAAGGCCAGCTCTCCAAAATATAAAGGATGTCCAAAAAAAAAAATAAAAACAAAAGCATAATGAGCATTTCCTCAAGCAAAGAACTAAGCACACCCGTTTGTGTTTCTTCCCTCACAAAGGGGAAAGGGGACCCCAATTTTGCAAAGACTTCATAGAGAGGGTGCAGGACAATTGTTTCAAGGTGGTGACCCTTCCCCTGTGGACGACTCCTCCCTTGTCTCAGCCTCTGCCAGGCAAGTGCCAGCGCTTTCTGCGGGGCGGCCTGCCTGCACTGCACACGCACTCCCAGGCGGTTTCCACTCACTCTGGGCTGGTCTTTCATTGAGGGCAACTGCGCATACCATTGAGCTCGGCCAAGTTCTTCTGGGAAGGGCCTCTCAGCACCGTTTTGTCTTATTTCAGCTGTGGACCCCAAAGTCGCTTCCATTGCCAACCGAGTTGCTGAAATTGTTTATTCCTGGCCACCTCCAGAAGAGCACACCCTGGGAAGAAGCTTCAAGTCCAAGAGGAGTTTGGAACCGCAGGCCCTCTTGCACTCGCAGGGCCCAAGCTTCCAGCCTAGGCCGGCAAGTGCTAAAAAAGGTAAACTTCCCTCGGAGTGTCTGTGTGGTGCTGAGTGTTTTCCCGGCACAGAGAGGTATATGGGCATTTATGTGCTGGTTCAGCTCAGCACTCTGCGACTGGACCAAGGGCAGCAGCATGCTGGCGGCACTGACCTTCAGCCTGAGAGGCCGGCCCAAGCCAAGAGGAATGAGCCAGCAGATTGGAGCAACATGCCAAGTTCACTGCTGAGTCCAAAGAAAAGTCTAGTGAGGGAGAGGAGGAAATACAGAGCATGCAATCAACTTTGTCCACAGGGGGAAATGCAGTATTAGATTTAATCGTGTTAGCAATGGCCAGGGACCAGTTTGCTCACAGGAGTGCAGAGGGTCCAGATCCAGCAGCAGCCCAGAGATTTATAACATTGCCTTGGACTCCTGTGAAGGAGCAGGCTAATGTCGAAAAGTATGTCTGGGGCAGAAGACAAAGCAGAGCTGAGAAGTAGTGATTAGACTGGGTCAGCTGTCACCAAAACTGTAGCAATAGCTGGGACAGTAGATTCCAACAGACTTGCAGAAATCCTAGGGTGGAGGGGAGCAGGACCAAGCGGGAAATTCAGTCCTATACTCCCTCACTGATGACAGCCGTCTCTCCTGGCTGTCGGTCCCCACACTGCAGTGGAGGGTGAGGGAGACGGAGCTGGGGCCTGGGTACGCGGCACAGCGAGGCTAAGGTGTCTCCCAGCCTCGGCAGCAGAGTGGTGAGTTTGTCCACCCTGTGCTGTAGCGTTGAAACCACTGTCTGTCAGCGGGGCTTAGAGTGAGGAGCTGGAGAAGACACCTCTTAGTCTGCTAAAAACAAAGCGTGTCCACTTCATTGCTATCTTGTGTGTGTCTGGGCAATGGAAAGCGATACCCCTAAACCAAGCTCCAGTTAAGGCCCGTGTCCTCTGTGCACATGGGAAATTTGGGCCAGTGTTACAACTTTCCTGAGAGAAGCAGCAGCATGAGATAAAAAGTACACTCAGGGGATGGAGACACACATTCCTCCTTCTCCCAGGTGACTTGAATCTCAGACTTCCCACTCACCTTGCCCTTCACTTGACCTCCCTGGGACGTGACGTCCTAGATTAATTTCTTGGCTTCTCTTTCCCTTTTATCTGGAACAAACCCGAGGACTCCAGGACTTCACAGATTTGCCATAAGTAAAAAATTCCGTTCTCTCAGTCACGGGCTTTTCTCTGTGGATTCTGTGCTACGGCAATGACCGTTTTCCTCATGTATCATCATTAGCACGTTTGAGACAAGAAAAATCTATTACCGCACCTCCTCCATTCTGACAAACAAACACACCAGCCACCAACCGTCACCGCCTCTCTGGCCATTCACCATTTTAGCCTTTGGGGTGGGAGAACTTATTAATTATATTTCTTTTTACCCCACCTTATTGTAAAGACATAGCATACAAAGTATACATTTTGGTATAGTAAAATAAATCAAATTTGAAAAATAGTGTGAAAAGAAAACAGTAGCAGGAAAATAAGGTGAGGCTAGAAATGAGTTTAATTCTCAAAATGCAGGCCCAGAAGACGACACCCCTCTCAGATGGGCACCGTGAACTTGTCTCTCCCCTGCCAGCAGCTGACCCCAAGGGGGAATGTGGTCAAATGGGGGATATACATATCCCTCTGCTTAGGAGAAGCCCGAAGAGCAGAGAGAGAAATTTCTCCTAAATATCTTTAGAGATGGGATCCTCTGTGGTAGAACCAATGTCTTCAGCAACATTGTGACGGTAAACAGGGTGATGAATTTCACCTGAGAACTGGGGGCAAGGGAAGAAAGAAAAAGAACAGAAAGCAGAGGGTGTCTTGAGGTGGTTTGTGCCTAAAATTGGCAAAGAGGATGTGAGATTTAATTTGCTAAAAATTACCGACCTCTTGTCTTCCTCAATCCCTAACCAAGCTAAGCACTGTCCCTGGGAAAATTTAAGATTATTTTTTCTTGAAAGAAAGAAATAACTGGGATTTTCCCAACAGATGCAGAAGACCAAATAATAGCCAAAATCGTCGAGCTGCTGAAATACTCAGGGGATCAGATGGAGATAGAGGTATGGCGCTTCTAGAACGAACCCGGTTTCTTTCCCCGCCTGGGCACTGGTACATGAGAACAGAATTGCACTCCAGCCTGTATTCCTTTTCGAAGTTCTGATTTCCACTTAGTCCTAAATTTTATTTCACTTGGAGTCAAAATTCTTCATGCTGGCTGCATCTCAAAAATGAATCACTTTGGAAAACATAAGTAAACCTTCTGGAGCCTCCTTGGAATTTTTGGAAACGAGAAAAGTAACTTTGTTATTGTAAGAAAAGACACCAATAAATTACAATTTGCTGAATAGAATTCTGAGTCTAGTTCCCCATGTAACTGATCCTCAGGGAAGTTTAGACTCTTGTGCTGGCCCCATAGCCTGGATAGCTGCGTCCCGCAGCTGCTCCAGGGCTGCAGCCCTGTCTGAAACCTCCCCCTATGGCTGGACTGCTCTCTGCTCAAGTCTCTCCCAGCGATCCGGCTGGGGAGGCCAGTTAGCGTTACTTGGAACATTGGGTTTCCTGCCGTTTAGAAGCCGAGACCCGTCGTTCCAATTAGAAACATGTGAGAGGCGCCTGCAGATAAAGCGTTGGTGAGCAGGCTCCCTGCTCCACTCTGAAGGGCTTCTGAACACCACCCCCTCCACGTCTGTCACCCACAGGCTGCCGAGGGGTCTCGAGGGGCTGTCAATCACGGGCCGGCCTGGGGACCCATTTCCTGGTTTGGCTAGGATGGGGGCAGGGGGTGTGGAGAAGTCAGGCCCAGGGGGCTGCAGAAGGGGGAACAGCACTGACCACCCTAGTCACTGCGGGCTCTGTGGCTGCCCTCCCAGTGCCTTCGTCACAGGCTGGTGGCCAGGGTGCTAAATGTCACAGAATGAGACACAGTGAGAAGACCGGGATCTGAGACTAAAGAGAAGGGGCAGGGTGTGAACTTCGGGGCCACACGTTGAGGCAGACGGGGTTCAGAGGAAGCAGACACGAGAACATGGTACACGATCCCAGGACACCCCCGCGTCTCCCAGAGCTAACATCAACGAACGGAAGTCTCGGGGCAGTTGATTTCTCCCCATTTTAAGAATGACCTTTCCAGCCGTGGTGGCTGCCCTTCAGAGCCAAGGGCTGACCTTCCTGTCCCTAGAAGAAGTTCAAGTAGATGCCAATAACCAAAGCAACAGTTGGGGGCCTGACCTGGGACGGATCCAGGAGATGTCCTCCAGGGTTCTTTAAGGCCTGAAGCTTCTGGAGCTCTCCCGGCAGCCTCCTTCCCACCGTCCCTCAGCAGTGACTTGTAGGTCGGGGAGGCCCGGACCAGAGGCAGGAGGAAGGCAAGCCCTCTGGCTATGAGGAGAGATGCTTTCTTTCTCACCCCACAAATTGCTACTTGGGAAAAAACCTCACTTTGTCTGTTACACTCTCTTGATGATTTGGGTGATACTCTGTATTATATTTATTTACAGCACATGGTGGTTCTTCCTTTTATGTGGTTCCCCAGTAGAGAACTGGGGCAGGAACACATAAAAAGTCTGACTTGTGCACTGTGGGTGTGAGTTGCCCCCAGAGGGAACAGTGACAGGGGAGAAGGGCCCAGCCCCGGCTGCGGGGCTTGTACCCACAGCCGCATCCCGCACCTGGACCTCCTCCGGGTGATGCTGTGGAGCCCGCGGGGCCAGAGAGGGCCAGGGGAAGGCCCGGACACTCTGTGGGAGACGTTCCTTTCTGGTGTTGGATTCCTTTACTGTCTGGCAGAGTCCAGGCCTCCAGCTGCCCGCTGAGGTTTTGAGTTTAGCTTCTTCAGCCGGGTCCCTGAGTAAGAGGAGTCCATTCTTGGTGTGGAGGACTTGGGTCATTCCTGCTTCAGCTCTGTAATGCAGATAGGCCCCTGTGCCTCCTGGAGGCTGGGGGTGGGCGGGGCTCGGACACAGGACACTGCTCCACCAAAATCTTTCTGCAGCCTCTGACTCATCCCCAGAACATCCCTGTTATAAACAACATTTGTTGAAAACCTGCTCATCTTATCATTCCTCAAGCACAGAACCAGAGGATGTTCAAATAAACATTTAGTCCCTGCTAAGGCATTTCTGTTTTCACGGGACACCCATCATAGTAACAGACATGGCAAGGATGGCTGTGAGTGAGGGTGATGTCTGCCTTGTGACTCAATACTTACTCTTTTGTTAAAAGTATGGAAGTCCAAAGAAGGCCGAGCCGAGAGATACTAGGGGGAGGTAAAATAGAATGTGTAGAGCCATGGAAAGGAATCAGTAGATTTGGGTCTTTTTTTTTTTTAAGTGAACTCATGCCCCTCAGGGAGTCCTCCCTGACGCCCTGTGCTCTCACAGCACCCTGAAAAATTCCTGACGTTTCACAAGCACGTCTCCACGTGGGGCACTGTGCCCAGTGTTTCACTCAATCACCCTGCAGTATAGTTACTGTCATCACCCCAGTTTAGAGAGGACACAACTGAAGGTGAGAGGTTAAGTAATTTCTCCCAGATTGCACTGCAAGGAAGAGCTGGAGCAGGGGTTTGAGCCAACACAGTGACTTCCAAGTTCTGGAGTCAGCCCCTGACATGACTTGTAGCAAAGCACTTGGCACTGTGTTGTCATTGTCACTAGACTGTGAGCCCCGGAGTGAGGGCCTGGGTCTCTCTTGTCCCCAGGACCTGCCCCTGCAGGTGCTCAGGAAACATCCCGTGAACGTGGAGTGAATGGGTCGTTCAGGTCCATCACCGATTTGTCCCGGTGAAATGAAGTCGCAGAGCAGGCACGTGCTGGTCTGGCTCTGCAGCACATTGTGCTGTGGCGGAGGCCGGAAGGCAGCATTCCCCACTGGGTGTTTAGCGGCCCACTGTCGAGCCAGGTGGTCTGCCCGACTGTGCCAAGCCACACTACTGAATGCTTATCCTCTTGTACGCAGCTGAAGAAGGACAAGACCTTGATGAACAGCTTCCGGGACGGCCTGACCTACCCCGTTTTCAAGACCATCACAGACCAATTCCTCAGGGGGATAGATACCAGGGGAGAATCAGAGGTCAAAGCTCAGGGCTTCAAGGCTGCTCTGGCAATAGACGTCACAGCCAAGCTCACCGCCATTGACAACCACCCCATGAACAAGGTGCTAGGCTTTGGAACCAAGTACCTGAAAGATCACTTTTCACCTTGGATCCAGCAGCATGGTGGATGGGTAAGTGCATGTTATCAAAAAAGGAATCATCCCCAATCTCAGAGTAGATGGGATGGAACGCTTGAGGGTTTTATTTTTTTGTTTTGTTTTGTTTTGTTTTTTTAGTGAAGGGAACACATCCATGAAGCAGTTCTCATGGGTTTTGGACACTTGAGTAGCAAGAGATATATCCCCTTGGTGGGAACATACTTTTAGTGATTATCTTCATCAATAAATAATTACTGAGCTCCCAAAGGGTACACGGGCTATGTGTGTCAGGGGGCAGGGACTGGGCAGATGTGACAGGAAACGAGGAGATGCTGAGAGACGAGATGTTCAGCTAGATGTGATCTCTGTGTTCACAGACTCTGCAGGCGGCAGCAGAGGGCAGTGAGTCGGGAGAGGCAGACCCTACCTCACACTCTCAGAGGCTGAGAGGATGTGGGGACAATCCTCAGGCAGGGGTTCAGGGTGATGATGACATTTTTGTGTCATTGGGGCTTTGACCCAGAATTTTGATGGGGACATTTTGATACAAACTAAAAAGCAAATGGTTAAATTTTCATCTGTTTTAAATGACCCAATATCAAACCAAAGAGATATCTTCACCCCGTGCCTCAGCCCCAGCCTCTCCCTCCTCCTCTATCCCCATGCCTTGAGATTTTCTCCGAACTGTCATGTTCAGACGGCCTCCTAGGGTCAGCCTTGTCAGAATGCTTTGCCCCAGAGCTTTAAATCTCCGAGGATAGGCCCTGGCCCCACATCATCATCATCAGTCCTCTTTCTACCAGAATGTTCCTGGGCCAGCAGCGGGGTTCAGTCTCTTCGGAACGTGGCCAGCATGCCCCGGGGGCGTCCAAACCAACCTTAGTCTCTCGGCACCCAGAGAGGAAGTCTAGCCGACCTTGCCTCGGGGACCCAAGTGCCCGCCGGGGTCTTCCGTGGAGGCCCGTGAAGCTACGCTGTCTTCGGATATTTCCTATTTCCCGCTTTTGCACCGGGTATGCCAGCCCTTAAGTGGCTGAACAACTAAGGCTTTAAGTATTTTAAATTTAAGTGGCCTCAACTCATGCTAAGAGGTTAGACTCCTGGACACTATTTCAGCTTCAGCTGTTCTTCCCAAAAGGACCCCTCCAAGTCCCTCCTCTGCCCCAGAGCCTTTCCCAACCGCCCCGGCTGGCAGTCCTCACCAGCCTCTGGCCCTCCTACAACACTTCCTGCCTGCACTGTAATTACACACAGGAAGTCACCATCATTGTTGGTCCTGTAAATATATTTTTCCATAGAGATTATAAATATCAATTGGGTTCCCAGGCCAGTTCTCAAAAGTCTGCTTAGTTAATTAGTGTAACAGAAATGCCAAGCGTGTTCTATAAACAATGGTGGTTCCACACCGAAAGCACAAGCGAGAAAAGAAAAAATAAACTGGACTACTAATGAAAATTAAAAACTTTTCTATTTCAAGGGACATCACAAAAAAAGTAAAAGCACAACCCATATAATGGGAAAAATATTTGAAAGTCATACACTTGTATTTAGAATATGTAATGAACTCTTAACACTCAAAAACAAAGAGACAAATAACCCAATTTTTTAAATGGGCAATGGATTTGAATAGACATTTCTCCAAAGAAGACATACAAATGGCCAATGAGGATATGAAAAGACACTTGCTTGGCGTCGTCATTGTAACATTAGGGAAATGCAAATCAAAACCACAACGAAATGCCATTTCACACCCACTAGCACGGCTGAAATAAAATAGACGAGTGTGGGTGAGGACAGGAGAAATTTGAACCCTCATGCATTGCTGGTTGGATGCTAAAATGGTCCAGCCCTTTGGAAAACAATTTGGCAGTTCCCCAAAGTGTGCAACATAGAATTACCAATTCCACTCCTTGGTATGTACCCAAGAAAATTGGGAACAAATGTTCACATAAAGACTCATACATGAATGTTCATAGCGGCATTCATTATTCATAAGCCCCGAAGTGGAAAGAACACAAATGTTCATCAAGAATGAATAGTGACTAGAGAAACCAAATGTGGCATATTCATACAATGGAATATTATTCAGCCACAAAAAGGAATGAAGTATTGACAGATGGATGAACCTTGAAAACATTATCCTAAGTGAAAACAGTCAGACGAAAGGGCCATCTATTGTATGACTTCATTTCTATGAAATGTGCTGAATGGGCAGATCCAGAGACAGATTAGCGGCTTCCCGGGCTTTGGGGAGAGGGAATGGGGCGCGACCGCTAATGAATCGGAGTTTTGTTTTGTGATGAGACTGTCTAAAATCAGACAGAGGCACAACTCTGCACACATTCCAGAAGCCAATGAATTATATAAAGAATAAATTTTATGGCATATGTCAATAAATCTGTTATGAAAACAGTGGTTCTAAGTCTAGTAAGCAAGCAAAAAGGGGGAAAATACATTTTTATTTACTTATTTTTAAAAATTTATATGCTAGTTTCTAATTAGAGAAAAATAGGTGGATTCTTCAGTAGAAATAACAAAGGGAACTTTCAAAGGCTTTAGAATTTGATGGCAGTAGTTCTTTATCACTTGCAGTTTCCATTCCAAATTTATTAGTTTACTTTTTTCAGACCATCAAAAATCCCGATTTCAAGGCTTGGCCATAATTTAGTTTTATTTGGAGCATGAAGCTGGAAATGAGGAAAGGGAGAAAATAAGAGAGAAAGGACTAATTTTTCAAAGTGATAGAAAAAGAGTTGTAAAAAATAAGAATGTTGATCTGAAAACATATCTGTGAGTCTCTATGAGCTACAGCAGGCTGAAGGCAGTGTGGGCCGAGCCCCGTGCTCGGTTTCCCGGAACAGGGAAAAAACGGGGGCCCTGGGTGGCAGGGCTCCAGGGACTTCCATCACCCCGGGTATTCCGGTGCCTCTCGGGGATGCCCTTGCAGTGGTGTGGAAGGGAGAGAATGATTCCTAAGCTTTCAGGAGCTCAGGGTTCATTCCTAAGTTTCTCAGTATTCCATACAAGCACGTCTAATCTTCCCAACCAAGCTGCAAATCTGTAAGGGCAGAACTGCACACTTTTATGCCTCTTCTTGTCTCTAATAGCTCCCACTGCTTCTATATATATCATAGATGTTCAGCTAATAACTTGTAGAATAATGAATCAACCAATCAAATGAATAGCAACTCTGTTTACAAGGCATGCTAAACAAGCTACCACGGGATTTTAATTTACTCTTTGGCCCTTTTTCCTCACTGTTCACACAGTCACCCTGACCTCCTGTAACCTCTCCCATTCTACAGCACCCTGAAAAGAGAGGCTTATAAAAGGAGAAGAAAGCCATCAACCTTTCCTTATTCAAAATTCTTTTGAATTTTAAATACAGCACCTAAGCCCTTTCCCATTTAGCCTGTTAGCCCTGGATGTGTAACCCAAGTCCTTCGCTGGCGTTTTCCTTGCAGGCATACCAAGGATGCCGGTCACCTTTCCAAACCCTCCCCCATCCCTAATATAGTCTCTGAGCCCCGGGTCGTGCCTGGGATAAGAGAGCAGAGTTAACAGGCATATGTTTTCACTTCCACAGTGAATCCAACTTGGAATTTTAAGAATCTAATTTCTCTTTTTCCCCTCTAGGAAAAAGTGCTTGGGGTATCACATGAAGAAGTAGACTGAAACATCAGAAGACGTGTAATCTGGAATACTCATCAGCCAACTGTGGGCCTGGGTACATCGCTCTCAGCAGAAACTCCGGGAGAAAATAAGCTTGTGCAAGGCAGATGGAGCACTGACGTCATCAAAACCGTCATTCCCCTGAATCCAGAGGCATCCGGAGAGGCCTTGGTCGTGTCTAGCTCGTAGACTGCAGTCACATGGCCATGCCATCCGTGTTTTTCAGGCCCTCCACTGAGCGTGTGTGGAGATCTAGAGAGACTATTCCTCTCAAACATTCAGATCTGAAACCATCATCCTGCCTCTGGCAGCCACCTTAGGGAAAGTGTGACACTCGCCGACCTCATGAGGGCGAGATGATAAATTGCGCATGTGCCTACTCTTGGGTTTCTAGCACTATTTGTTTTTTCAAACGACACTTGGGATGGCCTGCTGACGTTCTCTGGAGCATCCCTGTAGGAAGAGGCTGCTGTGCATGTTAGCAGACATGGTTCAGAGAGACTGGAGACACCGCCACCTCTGCTAGTTTGGGGAAACACTGCCACATCTGCCCCTTTGACTCCCTTCTCTAGGAGGATTCTCTGGCAGTTTGAGAACGTTTCATCTGGCAGAAAACAACGACTCTACTGCCCTCAACTTGCGTAGACCTCCTCTCTGCCTCTCAGGGCCTTTGGGGATTTCTTTGTTATTTATTGTGGGAGGGTAATGATTAGTAGCTGGTACGAAAAGGTATCATAAGACTATCTTGTGGTTAAAGCAGTGAGTAATCCTACTGCAATTTCTGTTAGGATCTAATGAGTTAATTTATAAAAAGTGCTCAGAACAGTGCTTAGTCTTGGTGCCAAGTAAGTGTACACTTATGTCCACTGGTACGTGCTGTTCTGAGCTGAGCTGAAGATTTGCTCTCCTCTCAAAGCAGTAGCTGATTGTTTTTCTGAAACCAATACTGTTTGGAATGAGGTATTTTAGTAAGTAAAATATGTCCCATAGTAAGTAGTTAAGACATACAGCAATGTTTAAAATTGCTTTCAAATTATAGGGTCTTACAAATTTCTGAATCTCTAGCACCCAACATGCAGTCTGACATAAAATAGGTGTTCGAAAAAACCTTTGATGGACACATAAATGAATGGGTTATTCAGATATACTTTCAACTTCAAGAGAAAAGTGAATCTAGCTATTTTCACATGCTTCACTATCCAACCCATCCCAATGGAACCGAGTTATTCTCTTTTTTCCTCCCCATATTGAAAGTCAGAAATGTCAGAGCTAAAGGAGTCTCCTTTCGCAGATGGAGACACTGGAGACCATCTCTTCTCCCACTGTGATCCGACCATGTCAAACTATTTGCAGGTCCCCGAGTGTGTTATGTACTACAAGTGTAATCTTGTAATCCAGAGGCTTCGTAACAACATGTTCTCCATTTGCAGTGTCCTTGCCTGCTGGTCCTCTTCCCCCTATTTCCTCTAATTCGGCTAACTCTAGCCCATCTTGCCAAATTCACTCCTTCCACAAGGAACCATTCATAACCCTCTTTCGGCCATCATTTGGCAAAATTGTCTCTCAGCCATGAGACTACATTTGGATGCTTTTCTTCACAAGGATGCTACATAGCACCACGTATGTGGACATCATACTTAATACATTTGTACCATAAGAACAAGTCTTTCACACCGGATTGCAAACTCTTTCGTAAACAAGTATGATGCCTCATTTAACTTTGCATACCTAATGCCTGGCATATTTTCAGGGCACAATTGCAGAATCATGCCTTAGCCTTAGTGCTGTAACCTATAAATCAGTGAGACTGGAGTATGGCCCAAGGTGTGTATGGTTTGAAGAAGCTTTTTAAGTGTTTCAATGTCATCTGCAGCTTCCATCTAAGATAAAGTAACAGTAACTGAATTTAATCTCCGCTTAAAACAACTGAAAAAAATAGACAAAATGTTTGAAAGAATCATTTTCAAGATGTTATGCATCAGGTAATGAAGAACTGGTCTGGAGAGATGAGAAACAATGTGAGCCCTGTGCTTGCCCTAGAACACTGCGGGTAAAGAGTGTTCGGGCTGTGTCGGAAGGAGGGGAACCCATGCAGGGCTCAGCAGTCACCCTGAATAGAGAAGACAGAGCCTGGGAGTCCAGGAAGGCCAAGGCAGCTCAAGTTTGCAGGGAAAATAATGGAGAGAAGAGAATGGCGCACAAAGCTTTGGAGATCTGCAGATAGGTCCCCTCGAGTTTTCAGATGAATACTGAACAATACATGCACATGAAGATGCTATCTAAGGCTTCAAAGAACACCTGAAAACATTAAGGGAACACATTCTCAAACTGACACAGGGTTGGGAGTTGTGCCTATTTCCACTATCCAGAATGGAAAAACCTCAAAATTTGCACTGCAATAGGTAAAATACTCAGAAGAATTTTGCCTCCCAAATGGGAAAAAAATAGCCCAAGACTAAACATACTTCTGGTTCTGCCCAATAAAGATGAAGAGCAAGAAGCAAAGGATCAATAACTTAGTTGTGTTCCAGAGCAAAGCTCATGAATCTTCATAAGATCACAAAAATACCCAATACTCAACAAGGTAACATTGACCAAGTCTGGCATCCAACTGAAAAATTACAAGGTATAAAAAGAATCAACAAAAAACAATGAGGAGAAAAATGAAGAAAAGCCACCCTAGAAATGATACAGCTGATAGAATTACTAGACAAGGACGTTTAAAAAAACTATTATAATTGTATTCCATTTACTCAATAAGCCAAAGGAAAGACTAACCCTTGAAATCCACTCAGAAATTATAAATATGATTTAAAACTTCCAAAGGAATCTGTAACTCTGAGATGAAAAACAGACCAGACTGGATTAACAGCAGACTACAGTATGTAGTAGAACAGAAAAGTACATTCAAAGGCATAGCAACTGATTCACAATAAAACACAGAGAAATAAGACCAGGGGAGAAAAATGCAAAAGCAATAGTGAACTTTGGGATAACTTCTATTGGCCAATCTATGTGTAACTGCAGTGAAATATATCCAAGTCTGATAAAAAAACTATAAGCCCATAGAACCAAGAAATTCAATGAATATCAACTACAAAAACCATGCAGAAAACTACAGTAAAGTATATCATAAATAGCTCAAACCAGTGATTTAAAAAAATCTTGAGAGTACCCAGAGAAAAAGGTACATTACATACTCAGAAACAAAAAAATTGATAGCAAACTTTTCTTGTAACAATACAAGACATAATAAAATAGAGTGTCATCTTTAAAGTATCAAGAGAAAAAAATTATCAACACAGAATTCTATACCCCCCAAAAAAAGGTGTTTTAAAGATGAAGGTGAAATAAAGACTTTTTGAGAGATGCAAAAGCTAAAAGAATTCCTCACTAGCAGAACTGAACTACAAAAAATGTTAAATGAAGTCCTTTACACAAAACAAGCCTCAACAAATTGAAGGAAATTGAAATCATACCAAGCATTTTCTCAGACCACAAGGGCTTGAAACTAGAAACTGGACTCAAGGAAAAAACTCAAACACATCCAAACTCATGGAGACTGAATAGCATGCTATTAAATAATGAATGGGTTAATAATGACATCAAAGAAGAAATCAAAAAGTTTCTGAAAACAAATGATAATGAACACACATCAGTCCAAAGTCGGTTGGACACAGCAAAGGCAATCCTGAGAGGGAAGTTCATAGCAATACAGGCCTACCTGATAAAGATAGAAAACTCCAAATAAAGAACCTAATCTGTTGTTCCTACATCTACAAGAACTGTAGGAACAACAACATACACAGCCCAGAGCGAGTAGAAGGAAATAAGATCAGAGCAGAGTTAAATGACATGGAGACTAAAAGTACAATGAAAAGGATCAATAAATCCAGGAGCTAGTTTTTTATCTTTTATCTTTGAAAAGCCTTTATTGACAAACCTTTAACCAGACTCATCAAGAAAAAAAGAGGACCCAAATAAATAAAGTCAGAAATGAAAGAGGAGAAATTGTAACTGATACCACAGAAATACAAAAGATTGCAAGAAATTACTACAAACAACTATATGCCAAGAAATTTGAAAACTGGGGTGAAATGGACACCTTTCTAGAAAAATATAATCTTCCAAAACTGAAACAAGAAAGCCTGAACAGACACAACAGCTGGCAAAAATCAAAGCAGTAATCAAAAAACTCCTGGCACTCAAGAGCCCTGAACTGGATGGTTTCACAGGAGACTTTTACAAAACATTTAAGAAAGACATAACCCCTATCCTTCTCAGACTATTCCAAAATACCCAAGATAAGGGAAGACTCCCAAACTCTTTTTGGGAGGCCAGCATCATCCTAATCCCCAAAACAGATAAAGATACAACAAAGAAATAAAACTACAAGCCAATATTGCTGATGAACATAGATGCTAAAATCTTCAACAAAATATTGGCAAACTGCATCCAGCAATACCTTAAAAAGCTCATACACCATGATCAAGTGGGATTCATCCCAGGAATGCAAGGATGGTACAATATTCACAAATCAAGAAAACTAATATACCACATACATAAAATGAAGGAGGAAAACCACATTATCACATCAATAGATCTGAAAAAGCATTTGATAAGGTACAGCACCCATTTATGATAAAAACACTCAGCAAAATGGGAGTAGAGGGAGCATACCTCAACATAATATAAGCCATATACAAGACCATAAAGCCAACATTATACTCAATGAGCAAAAACTAAAAGTGTTCCCCTTAAGATCAGGAACAAGACAAGGGTATGTTTTCACCACTCGTAGTAGAAATAGTAGTAGAAATTCTAGCCACCACAATCAGACAAGAAAAAAATAAAACACACCCAAATTGGAAAGGAGGAAGTAAAATTCTCATTAATCACAGAACACATGACAGTGTACATAGAAAACCCTATTGTCTCCACCAAAAAACTACTAAATCTAATAAGTTTATTTGGCAAAATAGTGGGATACTAAGTCAATATTCAGAAATTAATGACATTTTCATACACAATAAAATATCAGAAATAAAAACTAGAAAATAACCATTTACTATAGCAACAAGAAAAATAAATCATGTATAAATTTAAACAAGGAAGTAAAAGACCTGTACTCCGAAAACTATAGAACACTGAAGAAAGAAATTAAGGAAGATACAAATACATGGAAGCATACACCATATTTACGGACTGGAAGAATTAACATCATTAAAATTTCCATATTGCTGACTTCCAGCCAAGATGGAAGCGTAGATGGACACACTATGCCTCCTCGCACACTAAAAGAAGGAAAACAACAAATTTAAAAACAAAAAAAAAAAACAGAACTGGCAGAAAATCAAACTGTATGGAAGTCTGACAA